TTTTTTTTTTTTTTTTTTTTTTTTTTTTTTTTTTTTTTTTTTACAAATTCCGTTGTCATCCGATTTCGTGAAACAATATTTTTACGTATTTTAGCTTTTTATCTTTTTGCTTTATTTAGTAGTACAATAATATAGTTTCATCCACGATTTATATGAATCAAATTTATATTTCTATTTCTCGTAATCGCATCGTTTCTTACGTTATCTCAAAGATGGAAATATTTATATATATTTAGAGTTATTTTTTTCTCGAGTCTTTTTCCTTATATCGAAAATATATTGTATATGTATATTTAATTTTTGCTTGTTAATAACTTTGTTAATTTTATTTTCTTGAAAGGAATACAAATTTCAACAAGAAATTTCTCTTCTTTCCTATTTATTTCCTATTTCGTTGGTTTTTCAATATATAATAATTTTAGAGAGAAAGAAAAATACTGATAAAATTAATCGAGTTTGATTAAAAAATTGGAACGAATCGAAACAATTTGATAGAAATCTCGTAAGAGAAGAGTAGCGACCGGGGTGCGGCTTGAGAAAGTTTCATTCTAGTTTCATTTCTCGGTTTGTTAGTAATCTCGTTAAACAAACGAAAGGTTAAACGCAGAATGTCATTCGAGCGAATGACCTTAACCTTTCGAATAAGTTGGAAGGAAAGACTGACTAGCTGGTTGACTGGTTGGCTCGTTGGCTGACTGATTGGCACGGTTGTCCCGAGGTTTTATCGTTAACACGATTAACGCAAACGACGGAGTCCGAGTGCCAACAATGCTTGCCGCTGATCTTCGATCTCTCGATCTTACAACCAACTTTGACGTAATGTTTTTTCGATCGTATGATTATACGTATAGATGGTATAACAAAAATATTTTTTATTATGAACAATACGATGATAATAACGATGAGGAGATGAGATGTTTATGAGAAGAAATTTTATATTTTGCGTTTTTTTTCTCTCGTTGAATTCGTATTTTTCATCGATCCGATATATGATATATTCGAATATCTGAATATGTTCTTTTTATTTTTTATATGAAAATTTTCCTCGTAAAAATTTAAATCTCGCTCTTAAATACATTACCATTTTTATTGCGATTCACTACGATATTACGTATAATAATGTACCATATTTTCTCTATTATTTATATACCTTTATTTATGTACAGAACATATTTTCTAACGATATTTTGTTTGTTTGTTGTGCGTTTCTTTATTAGACAGAATGGTGCTGGTAGTAAACGGAGTCCTGCAAGAGGACATACCAGTGGATAGCAGATCGTTATATGCAGCTCACCCGGTATATCGTGAAACTGCTGCGCAACTTCATTCGATGCCAGCAAAATTGGTGGGCCCAATGGGTCTTCTTTATGTACGTCAGCGGGAAATGGCTGCTACTTTGCCACACGACAGTAAATATCAACTTTTCTTTTCTACAGCTAAATATATATTCAATTCTTATATATTATATACATATGTGTAAATCATCTATTCTTCTTTGCTTGTTTATGAAACAATGTAAAAGAAAGACACAAATTTCTATTCTATAGACGAATAATTTTCTATAATCGAATAATTAAATAATGAAAATAGTCGAATAATTTTGAATTGATTTTGAAAATGATCGATAAGCAACGATATAAATTCACATTTCATTTCGAATTTTATAAATCGAATCTATAATATAGATAATATTCGTTCAATTTTCCCTTTTTTTATTTCTGTTTCAGAAAATGTGAGCATTATTGGTTCGGATGATATGACCACTTGTATCATTGTTGTTGTAAGGCATTCCGGTAAGCTATAATATAAAATTGATTAGTTGTGTTATCGTCATCATGATTAAAAATAACAGCTTGAGATTTTTTTTTTTTGATTTATAAAAATGAAAATTAATGGCTACTGAATTGATATATTATGTGTACACGCGTGTTTAAACAATTTGATTATTGACCCGTTAGGATCGGGTGCCGCTGCATTGGCGCATCTCGACGGAGCTGGTACAGAAGATGCAGCGGCAGCGATGATTCAAAGGGTAACGGAACTTGCCATTGGATTTCCAGAGGGTCGTCTAGAACTACAACTGGTCGGTGGCTATTCCGATCCCAGGAATTATTCCGAAGAATTGTTCTCCAATATTCTTTGTAAGTGTCCTCTTTCTCTCTATCCCGTTCGAATTTGATCAATTTACAAAAAATGCGTCATATTCTAATTCTAGCTGCATTTCACAAACAACCGGTAGAGATTGATCTAACCTTGTGTTGCGTGGGCGAATTGAACACTACGGTAAGAGGTGGAACTCATTGGCCGGTAATATACGGTATCGGTTTGAATGTAAAAACGGGTGAGATTTTTCCTGCTACCTTCCCCGATAAAGGTCCTGATCAAGCCCTAAGATGTGCTAGGCATTTAACCGGAGGTCAACAGGTAAGCGATGATTATCTTGAGAAAGAATCACGTTACATGTAAATGTGATGTCCTCTTTCAACTTGTATTCTTCTCGCGATTAAACTATTAAATATAAAATATTAAATATAAACTTGGATAATAAAAAAATGAATTTTTTTGTAATATCGATAATTTTTTTGTAATATCGTTTATCTCGTATATTAGGTTCTAGATGTTTATGACTGTACCCTTGGTTTACTCAGAATCGGACCTTTCAACTACGATCCTTTGAGAGGAGTCGATCTTTGGTTAGCTCAATCCGATCAATTTATTCTGCAACATCTTTCAACCGCACCGGAAGTGGAACTTCCACATTTTGTATCACAGGTAACATGATATAATCTGTATTTTGTGATTGACGATCGAACGATCAATCGATTTTCTATTTAATTCTAATTCTTTCTATATTCTTATATTTTTATATTTTTATTCATGTTCACGCTTGTCAAAATAATTTGTCTTAGGTACGAGCAACGCTCAAATATATACAGGATAATCAATTTCCGGCAGTCACCGTCTTCCGTGACAATAGACCTCATTATTATCGTCGAGATGAAACCACCGGTATTTGGCAACCCATACGATATTGATAATGACTGCCGTTATACTCTTTAAAAAGGCTTGTATTAAAGTTGACGGAATTTTCCTAATTCTTCTCTAAAATTCATAAAATAAAATAAAACAAAATAAAATAAAATAAAATATAAAAAAAAAAAATAAAATTTTATTACGAAAAA